AATGTTGCCTTTCTACCAATACCAGAATCAAGTGGGTTGGTATAGCTCTTGCACCTGCCCTTTTCAATTAATTTAGCATGAAGTAGCATTATCGCCTTGAAATGCGAGAGAAAAACTTTTGGATGACCCTGGAGTAATCGGATCGGCTGACGGAAAAACTCAGTATATTGTTTGTACTCACCGTGAAGCGTTTCATATAATAATAACGTCATGTTGGAGCGAATAAACAAATATTCTCTTATTGCTTGCTTAATTTATTAAAGCTTCCTATTCAGTATTGGGTTTTTTTCAGGGAATTTTCATAGTGACAGGCTGGACTTTCATAAAATAGAATATTTACATCTTCTTGCATTCCGCCTCTTGACAGTCTTGTGTATATCACCGCAAATGGCTGAAATGGCAGAGACGGATTCATGTGGGCTCTGATCCCTTGTGTATCAACCAATTTATGGTTAATGTATACACTTCTTATGTCCATAACTTCGATTTTTTTGGACACGCAGCCCCCCCCCCCCCCCTTTTTTTTGTCAAAATCCGGAATCCGCATCTGGGTTCATAGTGCAGTTCTCATTTTTGCAAATGCAAGTTCATTGTATAATTAATAGTATACTATAAAGTCTCTTCTAGTGCTTACATATTGGGAACCATTAAAATTTTAATGAAAAAAGTTGCATTTTCATACAGAACTTTATACCAAAATTCATGATTTTTTGGTTTGCTCTTTGTCATTGACAATGTTTAAATCATAAATATTAACTCCTACCTGCATATAAATATTCACATTTTACTAGTTGAATATCTCCTGTATCTCAAGTGTGACTGGTATCAATTTGTAAATATGATGATGATTGGGAGGTCTTTTTGAATTTTATTTTGGTGGGGTAGGGTAATTTTTTTGCCAATGAATGAATATGAATTTTCACCAGTTACCAGGCGAGTATTTTGTATGGCTTGCTTTTTTTTTTATAAAAAAAGCTACGGCATTGAGTACCCCATACTTCAAAAAAATGTACCTTGAGCTCTCATTATTTATGCTTACACTATATCATAAAGCGATAACCAGTTCGACAAATATCGGATGCATATATATACACGACTAATTTTAATCGCATCTGTATAAAAAACCCACATCCAATTAGTTTCAGATACATGTACATGTACCTATGATTCAATCAACAACCTTGTCATATATATCATCTCAATTTCTCAACCTTATAGTTTATATTTAATTTTATACCATGAAGTTGGAAATAGTGACCTATTTTTTTCTGCTGCTCATTTCATATTAAATCCCTGCCTACCAGTGTTCACCAATACAAATGGACAGCCAGAAGTGCTTACATGACATTCAGCACAATCAATCAACTGTTTTTTTCATTATCAAGTGCCATAATATTTTAAGGTTCATCTCAAACATGTCAAAATCAGAAAACTTATTTCCCATCACCTGCTGAGATTGGAGGCAACTGAATGGTCTTTCTTTTCTGTCAGAATAAAAGAAATTCTATGTACCATATATAATAAAAATACACAGAAATGACTAACTCAATCACAATTAATACATATATACACAATCCAAAAGTTTCAGGAAGTGTCGGGTGAATTAATCATGACATAGTGGACAGGACAAACTAGTCAGCATGGAAATTAAAATGATGTGTAAATGCTTATAAAACTACTGCCTACAAATATCATTGACAAGAGTACAATCAGTGGTTAATATTTACCTGAACCAGTCACAAGAGTAAAAAAATTACTTTATTGTAAATCAAAACTTCATTGGCAATTATACCAGATCATCTTTTTTTATGTCAAATTCTAGCTGTAATACAAAAATATGTGTGCAATTTCAAACTGAGAACAAAGCAATTTCTGTCTATTTTGGGGATGTTGTCTCATTGCCATACATGTATACCCAACATCTTTTGCTAAACATGCTAGATATGCAGTGTGGATTCCGCCAAGGTCGCAGTACTCTTGACCATCTTGTTCGATTCGAATCATTTGTCCGTAATGGTTTTGCGAAAAATGATCTAGAAAAAGCCTATGATACTGCATGGAAGTATGGTATTTTAAAAGATCTCTTTGATATGGGGTTGAAAGGCAATATGCCAAATTTTATTTCGAATTTTCTATCTAGCAGACAATTTAATGTTAGAGTAAATTCAACCATGTCTGATCTGTATGATCAAGAGATGGGTGTCCCTCAGGGCAGTATTTTATCTGTTACATCATTTAGTCTTAAAATCAACAGCCTTGTTGAAGTTTTAAAAAGTAATATTGAAGGTTCATTGTATGTTGATGACTTTTTAATATGTTATAGAGGCAAAAATATGAATAACATAGAAAGACAATTACAGTTATGTCTTGGAAGAATTGAAAAATGGGCCTCGGAAAATGGGTTTAAATTTTCCACTTCAAAAACGGTCGGGATGCATTTTTGTAACAAAAGGCAATTGCATCTTGATCCAGAACTCACTTTGTACGGCAACCCAATTAAAATGGTTGATGAAACCAAATTTCTTGGGTTAATTTTCGATAAAAAGTTAACCTTTCTACCCCATATCAAAATGTTAAAATCGAAATGTTTAAAAGCATTAGATATTTTAAAAGTTGTCGGCAGCACCGACTGGGGTGCTGATCGCAACATTTTATAGATCTCTAGTTAGATCTAAACTAGATTATGGCTCTATAGTGTATGGCTCTGCAAGGAAGTCCTACATACAGATTCTCGATGCTGTGCATCATCAGGGTTTGCGTCTCTGTCTTGGCGCATTTAAAACCTCACCAGTTGAGAGTCTGTATGTAGAGGCTGATGAGCACTCACTCTCTAACAGACGTTTGAAGCTTGGACTTCAATATGCTGTCAAACTAAAAGCCTACTCAGATAATCCTGCCTACAGCTGTGTTTTTAATCCAATTTATGAAGATATTTTTGCAAAACATGAAAATAAAATTCCTCCGTTAGGTATACGTTTAAAATCACATTTAGCTTCTTTTAATTTAAAATCTGTTGCTCAAGTTGAAACTTGCAAATGTCCTCCATGGGAACTTCCCAAACCAAAAATGATATTTGATCTCCGTGAACACAATAAAAATAAAACAAATCCTCTTTTAATTCAGCAACACTATGCTGAAATCAAAGCCAATTATTCAGATTTTTCAACTGTCTATACTGATGGATCAAAAGATGGTGACAGAGTTGCATCTGCTGCTGTCTTCAGGGACAGAGCTGCAACTCTCCGTTTGCCATCTGAAGCATCGATCTTTACTGCTGAAGCAGAAGCAATAATTTTGGCTTTGAAATTTATTGCTTCTTCAGATAAATCCAAATTTATTATATGTTCTGATTCACTTTCATGCTTACAAGCTATACAAAATACTAAAATTAAAAACCCAACAATTCTCAAAATTTTATATGTAATGAGGAATTTAAAAATTCTTCTTAAAGAAATATTATTTCTATGGGTGCCGAGTCATGTTGGAATCCTTGGAAACACAGCTGTAGACCTTGAGGCAAAGAATGCCCTGGGTGACCCTTTATCTAACTGTGATATACCATATACCGATTTTAAATCTAATATTAGAGAATATGTTTTTAATATATTGAAAAATGAATGGAGTAAAAAAGATGGTAATAAATTACATGAAATTAAACCTAATTTATGTAAACCTTTCAATAATTTTATGTGCAGAAAAGATCAGTGTGTTATTTCTAGATGTCGTATTGGTCATACTAGAATAACACACGAATATCTTTTAAAAAATGAAGTAGAACCACAATGTATACCTTGTAACTGCAAGTATACTATTAAACATGTTTTAATCAATTGTATTGACTTTGCTGATATTCGGAAGAAGCATTTCAATGTCAATAATATGTATGATTTATTTAATAATATTCCATTTACAAATATTGTTTCATTCTTAAAAGAAATTGGAATATATTATAAAATATAAAAATGTTGTTATATTTAAAATTATTTTAATTTTTATCACGTTATCTTAGTGTTGATTTTTATTTGTAAATAATCAATTTGCTTTAGTCTAGAATTTTAGTTTATTGAAAGACCTTTTGTCTGATTTTAAAAATATACCTTAAATTGTTATAATATTCGAATTAGCTCTCGCCGCGATATAGCCTTTCTGTGCTAATGCGGCGTAAAGCAAACAACAATCAATCAATCATGCTAGATATAAGAATCTCTAAAACAGTAACTGTGAAAATATTCCATCACAAGTTTCCAAGTTTATATATCCTTCAAACATGTCAAAAAGACTCAGAATTTTTTGAGTAAATTTATTCCCAAGATAATTTCAATTATTGAACAATGTAAGGACAATTAAAAATGCGAGATTATTTATTGTAGTTTCAGAAAATCCTGGATACAAATAATACCATCATTTAAATAAATTTATATTTTTTTTTGCCAAACGTATACAATTGTATAACCTATTTTAATTTAGACAAGAAATGAAAAAAAAATCTGATTTCTAAGTATAGACAAATATATAACATGTATAAGTATAGATAATATTTTTGTTCAAACATTCTGTGGCTGTTACAGAGGTCTTGCTCAGTATTGAAGGCCAACATCAATATGACTAAGTCACTTTAAGATGAACAACAACTGCAATTAAAACACTTTTTTATGCTTCTGAACTTATTGTATACCTTTATTCTGTGTTAACTGTTATGAAATGAAATGAAATTGAATATAAATCATGATATAATATAATCTTCTTGTTCTCTGGTCATGCTGGTGGGTAATATATAATATGACTATTTGTTCTCTGATGAAGAGTTGTTAATTTATTGGCAATCATATGTCATATTCTTAGTTTTATAATAACATGTAACTCCATTAGTGGTGCATCAGTGAATTGTATGCCTACATGTATATGATAGTATATCTCATGTATATCTAGGTAGGATTAATGTTTAAATCAATTACTATTTTTTCCCCGTAATTGCCATAAAAATAACAAAACACTCATACAAGTCTTATAAATGAATATCTCCTTCTTTACAGTTCAACTGAATATCATATGTCTATTTGTAGATCTCTCACTTGGTCAGATACAAATGTATTGCAGATTTTTCAAATATTTCATGAAAGAAACGACAAATTACATCCATGAAATATAATTTTGTTAAATGAAATACTTTTTTGAAACTCCAATTGTAAGAAAATTCACAAATCTCCAAACTGTCCGTATTTAGAATTCATTTTAACTGAGGTAAAAGCTCTTTAAGATGGTAAACATCAACTTCAGTGATACATGATGATGAAAAAGAAGCTAAATTGTCTAGTTAATTTTCCTCTGTCTCTCAGCATCAAAACACTAAATTCCAATTCATTTGGTCTTGAAACAGTCAATGCTTCTGCTTAGTACATATATGTACATTATATAGAATTGCTGTCTTTTTTCTACTTTTCATGGACATATTTGGTGGCTTTCTAAACAAATTTTAATCAGATCTGCTGTAATGGCCATGATGAGTTATAAGGAACTTTCTACTGCAGGTCATCATCCCTGAAATATGAAAAAGCAAATATAATATATTAAATGAAATTTTCAACATGTGAAAAGTAATCAAAAGTTAGTGCAAACATATTTCTTCAAGAAGTTACTGTTAAAATGCTAACAAAATAATTTCCTTGTCCTTATTTAATAATGAAATTGAGAATGGAAATGGGGAATGTGTCAAAGAGACAACAACCCGACCATAGAGCAGACAACAGCTGAAGGCCACCAATGGGTCTTCAATGCAGCGAGAAACTTCTGCACCCGGAGGCGTCCTTCAGCTGGCCCCTAAACAAATATGTATACTAGTTCAGTGATAATGGACGTCATACTAAACTCCAAATTATACACAAGAAACTAAAATTAAAAATGATACAAGACTAACAAAGGCCAGAGGCTCCTGACTTGGGACAGGCGCAAAAAATGCGGCGGGGTTAAACATGTTTTTTGAGATCTCAACCCTCCCCCTATACCTCTACTGCCAATGTAGAAAAAACAAACGTACAACAATAATGTCTTCATTCATCATTTGAACAAGGATTTAATTTTCTACACACATTTTTATAAGGTGCACTACATGTACTTTTATAAAACTTTAAAGTTAAATGAAAAATAAACTGTTATCACAGAGATATGTCTCGCCTTTTTGTAATTTTGATAATGCAAATGTTGAAATTAAAATAGCAATACTTTAACATGTAAGTTATGCAAATATTCAAAGTCGATGAACCATGACTGAAGGTACATTGCTAAACAATCTCCATGGAATGAGATGTGCCAATGCTAATACAACTGCATACCAAATATCATTGACCTACCACCATGAACTAGACCTAATCACAAACTAATACATTGTTGACGACGCCGTCGCCAGCATACCTATGTCTCGCTTTTTGACTCCGTCAAGGCGAGACAAAAACCCAGATGTGCCTATACGATGTATTCTGTAATAAATATTTAAATTGATGTATTTATGTTAATTTACTTTGTTTTGTATCTCCTTTTAAGACAGGAATACTTCAATATCAATATCAGTAATCCACAGCTAAAAAAATTTTGCTAGCAAGTTCAGTATATTATTGTATTAATATCTGTCATGTCTGTGTAAATAAATTTTATTGCTGGTACAGATACTTCATTAACATTGATTAAATTAAGAAATTATCATGATTATTGGGTACATTTATTTTTGCAATTTTTGAAGAATGGACAAAAATGTAAGATTTATAATTGCGATTTCAGAAAAATCTGCATACTTGTACAGTTATATGTAAAGATTCCGGAATGTGAGTTCCTTTTATTGCGATATTCAAAGTTGCCTCATAAAAACATTGCAATAATTTCTGAGTTTACATCATACAATATTCTTACAATGTACATGATGTAAGAACAGAAATTTATTTGCACAACACAAATTATAAAACAGGAAGAAAAACCAGGCTCGCTAACATGTTTAACCCATCCACATTCTGTATGTACAATGTATGTTCCTGGAATTCAGTGGTTGTCGTTTGTTGCTGTGTTACATATTTCTTTTTCATTTATTTTTGATTACATAAATTAGACCATTAATTTTCTCCTTTGAAATGTTTTACATTTGTGATTTTGGGGCCTTTAATAGTCAAATATGCAGAATGGGCTTTACTCATTGTAGAAGGCCATTCAAAGACCCATAGTTGTTAATGTCTGTGTCATTTGGACTCTTGGGGAGAGTTGTCTCATTGTACAATAGTTAGCTGATATCAGGATAAAACAATTTACCTGTCTATAATAATAAAGCTCTCCAAATCAAACCATTACTTTATTTCATCAAAGCTGGAATGGCATACTGTTTCTTGTAATTGACAGGGGAGCTAAAAAAAAGTAAGAGAAAGTAATTATTTAATTACATATAGGTACGTTTTTTAAAATAAGGAGCATAAACATATGTATAATGATTCATATAATTTTTAAAATAAAGAAATTACGTCTGCACACAACCCTAATTTGATATCAGGATTTCCTCCATAGATATATAAATGCCTATTTTTTCTTGGATTTCTAGAATTGCTGCATCTTATGCTAAATAAAGAGCTGTGCTAAAAAAAAAGCCATCCCCCCCCCCAAAAAAAAAAATCTAAAACAAAAGAGTGAATCTGTGAGCGTTTAATATACCCCCATACCCTTAAAGTAAAAGGTTGTTGAGTGATGAATCTGAAAAAGCATCAGACTGTATAACTGACACATATAAACCCTGATGGCATGAAACCAAATTTCAGAAATCCTTGTAATGTTCCTGAGAAAGATGCAAAGAAAAATATTCATGGGACGGACGGACGGACTGACTTGAGGATGTACAGACAGAAGTAAAACAGTATACCCACCCCCACTTTTTTAAAGACTAAAAGTGGGTTATAAAAATAAAAAAAAACCAAACTTGCGCACAGTGGCACAATTCATGAATAATTCTTATGAATAAAATCCAATAACTGGAATAAGTAAAATATGTTCCTGAGAAAGATGCAACGAAAAATATTCATGGGACGGAAGGACTGACTGGCTTGAGGATGTACAGACAGAAGTAAAACAGTATACCCACCCCCACTTTTTTAAAGACTAAAAGTGGGGGTATAAACATTAAAAAAAAAAAAAAACTTGCGCACAGTGGCACAATTCATGAATAATTCTTATGAATAAAATCCCATAACTGGAATAAGTAAAATTTAAAATATATTAAAAATCGTAAGGGAGCTTACGTTACATTTCAGCAAGTTTCATGAAAATGTGTTAAAGCGTTTTTGAGACATTGTCCAAAAAACGCGATAATTTCGACCCGTTATTATGAATAAAGTCCCTATACTCCAAAACCAGGTATCAAAAATATCTCATAGAACATGTAGAAATGGAAAGGAAACGTATGTCAATAAATTTAAACAATTCACCAAAGTTTCATGAAGATTGGTGAAAGCTGTTTTGAGTAATCATCTGAATGATTCATAAGCAAGGCATTGCTCCAAATAAAAATATATTTCTTTCAAATATGTGTGATAGCTGTTATTTAATTTATGATTATCAATTTTTGTTTAATTTGTGTTCATGGTGTCTGGTTCATTTTAATGAATGATGAGCAAACTACATATTAATTTGTATAATATTATTGTGTCATGAAAAGCTTCTTCAATTTTTTGCTGCGATTCCTTCCTAATAATGACGGTCATAGGAACATGAGGAAGGCGTCCCAGTTAATCATTAACAAAGCCTTTCAAGAAATTATAATATTATTTTGACTATGTATTAAAAATTGTTCTATTTAGCCAGCAATTTAAGTACATAAACTTGCAATTGGTTATATATATATATATATATATATATATATATTTCTGACTTGGTAATGATTTAAAAAATACTGGTTCACAGATAATAAGATAATTTATTCAAGGTGCACAGGCTTTTTCCAGAGAAAGACGCACTGTCCAGGATATTTCCAAATAATTACCCAGATACTCAGCCTTCTGTAGTCATTTTTAATGGACATAAAGATGTAATCATGTTGCTGTCACCTTTTAACTTCCTTAAAAGCTTAAGTTGCATCCGAATTCAAAAAATTATTATTTATAGTACATTTAAATTTGAATTGAAGTTCTTTATAACATACATGAACCATAAATATTCAATAGAATTGCAAAACTTTTTTGACAAGCATGAGAAATAAATTGTACGACAGGAAACATGGAAATAAATAAGGGAAACAGGTAGCACGCACATCGAACAAAACACGAGATACATGTATTGAGAGGTCAAACGTCAAAACACGAAAACAAGTGAAATAAAATATAAACACTGGGTAAATAGAAAATATTGCATAAAATTAACCCTTTACCGCCCTTTTAAATTCAAAGTTGATTAATACCAACAGCACTGAGCAGAAAATAATATAGTATGGACTTCACACTGATTAAATGGTGGGAGTAGAAGTTGGAAAGAGGGGGGGAGGTAGTCCAAATAATTATGACGTCTTGCAAGGCTTCCTTTTGAGCAAGTTTGTGTGCCCTGTGTTACAAATTAAGAGCTCCATGCTTTGAAAGTATGGGTCATGGCTCCAGCAATGTGGGTGCCGGAGAGAGGTGAACGGTGGAACCCCCCCCCTTTTTCCCCGAATTGCTAAACGAAAATTAGAAACTATTAAATTTCAGGGTAAATGTTGCTAATGGGCTCTCGGTATAATGGAGGGATCTTGTTTCATTCGATATTCTGTTCATTTATTGACGGGATTCGATAAATTGTTCAAATTTCAGATATCTGTTACAGTCTAGTTTCGTTTTGACTACCATGACCACGTGTATATCATGCTTGCCAACACTGAACTCGTTTTTATCTATAAGTATACAGTTTTTTTATTTCTGAAGCGAATTATTAACAAAACAAGCAACGTATGTTTCATAAATAATACATATTTGGAGGCTCACACTTACTTTTCTGGTTAGATTTTCACATAGAAGTGAAAATAATTTTCGCTGCAAGGTTCTTTACATTCTGCAAACTACAAACATCTATTTGACGGCGATCGTCTACTGATTGGTTAATCTGCAAAAGGAGGCGGGGTTCACAAGCAGACAATCTCGTCAACAAAAACAGCTATTGCAACTGTTTGCCATAATAATTAAAGCACAAACATACAATATTCGTGTTTCGATAAACAAATTACATCATACGGATACCCGTTTTTAGTTAACAGGCATGTATGTAATTTGATTTCATACAGTTTCATCGATAGACGCAGCTTACGGAATCTTCGCCATTAATGAATATATGAATACATAATGAGGTCCTTACGGGGTTATCTGCCCCTGACAAAATCTTATCGAAATTGCCTTAACATCGCTGCGATATTATTGACATTGAAATGGTTCCTACGAATATCAGCAAAGTCAATACAATTAACCAAAACATGTTTAATAGTATACTTGCAGTTGCAAGGTCTACATTGTGGTTCATCTTCATTTTTACGAAGATACTCATGTGTTATTCTAGTATGACCAATACGGCATCTAAAAATAACACACTGATCTTTTCTGCACATAAAATTATTAAAAGGTTTACCTAATTTAGGTTTAATTTCATGTAAGTTATTATCATCTTTTTTAGTCCATTCATTTTTCAATATATTAAAAACACATTCTCTAATATTAGATCTAAAATCGGTATATGATATATCACAGATAGATAAAAGGTCATCCAGGGCATTTTTTGCCTCCTGGTCTACAACCGTGTTTCCATGGATTCCAACATTACTCGGTACCCATAGAGAAATTATCTCTTCATGAGGAATTTTCAAATTCCTCGTTACATATAAAATCTTGAGAATAATCGGGTTTTTAATTTTAGTATGTTGTATAGCTTGTAAGCATGAAAGTGAATCAGAACATATTATAAATTTCGATTTGTCTGAAGTGGCGATTAATTTCAAAGCCAAAATTATCGCCTTTGCTTCAGCAGTAAATGTGGATGCGGCAGATGAAACACGGAGAGTCGTAGCTCTGTCTTCATGGACAGCAGCAGATGCAACTCGGTTACCATCCTTCGATCCATCTGTATGAACAGTTGAAAAATCTGAATAATTTGCCTTAATTTCAGCAAAATGTTGTTGAATTAAAAGAGGGTTTGTTTCCGTTATTTTTTTGTATTTACGGAGATCAAATATCATTTTCGGTTTAGGAAGTTCTCATGGAGGGCATTTGCAAGTTTGAACTTGTGCAAAAATGGTTAAATGTGGTTATAAACGAATTCCTAATGGAGGATTTTTATTTTCATGTTTTGCAAATATATCTTCATAGATGTGCTGAGAAATGGTGAAAGGTCATGAGGTGCTCCTTCACCTGGTGGCGTCTTGGATATATATATTGTTGCAGCCGATAATTTAAATTCACGGATTGTTATCACATGTTTACCATGCTAATGTTTTTGTATTGACGAAAGACATCAAAAGGACCCCGTCCACAAGTTGGTATCGGACAAATATATCCTTTGTAAAACACTTTTCTTTCTGTTGCCATACTGTAATATAATATACATTATAAATGAACAGTTGATATATAATGTACACATATACAAATAACAGAATAATAATACTGCAAAAAAATCTCTTAAAAAACATGAAACCGATATACACGTCCTTGGTCCTGTTAAATAGTGACGGTAATGTGTCTGCATCCGGTAACATTTTTCTGAATCGTTGTATCTGAAATTGAGAAAAGGCAATCCTCATTTCATTATGTAAACCTGGCACGTGTTTTACACTGAAAAAGAAGTTGTTTGTACACATGTTAATTTCTTCATTAGCTTTATAATAAACCAACATTTGTATCTGTCTTTACTAATAATCTGAACTATAGACATACTATCAAACTAAAACAAATATTATTTTTGTTTTCCATGAGGCGCCCATAAAGTAGCTGCCACACCGATTGGATACAATTCAAGGACAGGAATTGAATGTTTACTATTTGTGATGATTGTGGGCGGGTAGCTGTTGATTCTGAAAGGGTAGTGGAACAGCGAGTTTGTCCTGAGCTGGTAGCCCAGCTTATGGTTGTGAAGGTAGCAGAGTTTTTAGACGGTCAAGTAAATTTTGGATCATCGTCTAAATTTTTTAATAATTTCTATAATACCCGCAACGAACATCACCACAGCCAATATGTGTTCTTTAAAAGTAATAATTATTTTCATCTAATCGATATTTCTTCATAATTTTCAGTTTTGTGCTGTGGCTTTTATGTTTACGCTCAATTTCTATCCTTTTCGACCTACTGACGATCTTTATCTTTATTTCCATCTACAATTTGTAGGTTATTAAAGTATCAGATGAAAATTGTAA